ATATCGAGTTTCAGAAATCTAACAGCGCCATCTAGTATTCATTTCGGAACTAAATTACGTAAACAACATTTGCATTCTACAGATAATCATTGTGAGATATATAACTTATTTGCTACATTATTTTTATACTAACAGTACTATTTAATTATACAGATACTATATTTATAATTAATACATACTAGATATAGTGGCGCCCTCAACATATATCGTCACAGAACTTCTGACCGCTTCCATCCTTCGTCTCGTGATGACTAGGGCCCTCACAGGACACTGCAAATTAAACAACCATATTGCAAAACTAGGCCTATGCACAACAAAAATCTGCAGATTTTGCCAAACTGAAGAGGAAACGCCACTACACATCCTATGTGGTTGTAGCCCACTCATGCATAACCGAAATATCTTCTTTGGAAAGTTTACATTCTATCCTGAGGAGATAAAAACCATCGCTCCTAAGAATATCCTTCAATTCTTGTCCCTGACGAGTCTAGGTAGCGAACTTTGAAAAGGGCGAGCACAGTAGATCTATGTAGGTCGCAGTGCTACAGGTGCTACAAGCACCAGACAATAGCCCAAACAACCCAATAAAAAAATCTTTCGTCACACTTCGGCGAGCCCCTCATCTTAACATGTGACATCATTTACAGATGGACCCTAATTATCCAGTTTATCTCGTGAGAAACAATAGAATTGTGCATTTATAATTGTTTGTTTCCTGGAATGTTTGCAGTCGTTTGCATTTCAAGTTCATCCAATGAAGGCTGGCAACGTCGCGATATCTGTTTGTCCATTCTTATAAACGACTAGCAGTTTCCGCAACTTCGTCCGCGTGGTATTTAACTTCATTTTTCTAAAATAAAAGTAGCCTAAGTTACTCCTGATTATATCAGCTACCTGCTAAAAAATAGTTCCGTCAAAATCGGTCCAGCCATTTCAGAGAATAGCCGGAACAAACAGACAGACAGACAGACAAAAATTGTAAAAAATGTTGTTTTGGTGTATATATCGTATTACTATACATATTATTATATAACTAGTATTTACATAACCTAATTGTACAACTAAGAACTAAAATAAAAAGTAAAACACGGTTATTTCAATATTACAAACTTATTTATATGTATCACTTATCACCAAAATCCTGCAATAATCACTGGCTTTGACTTATTGCATACTCATGCCGTAGAGTTTAACAAAAATCTACTTATAATCGACCGAATATTAACCAAAGTTCTAAATACAGATTAAAAATAAACACAGTTCATACTGGATTATTTCTAGACTACACAGCATATTGTAAATATTTCTGACATTGAATCCACGTCTTATATTATACTAGTAATGATTATACGTCTCTACGCCACTTGACAGACCCGGTGGTCTAGTGGTTTAGCGTACCGCTATCTGATGGTCGCGGGTTCAATTCCTCATACGGTACGACTTTAAAATCATAGCAATAGATCTAAATCACTATTTCAGTGTTAAATTTCTATAGTGGATCTACCGTTAGATTTAGCAGCGTGAATATACCATCATCATCATCATCAATTCACTGCAGTCCACTGCTGGACATAGGTTTCTCCCAAGACACGCCACTGGGCACGACCTTCAGCTCTTCTCATCCAGTTACTACCCGCAACCCTACTTATATCGTCGCTCCACCTAGCTGCGGGGCGTCCTACACTACGTTTGCCAATTTGCGGTCTCCACTCTAGAACACGTCTACTCCAGCGAGTTTGCCAATTTGCAAATACGAAGTCTCCTGTCGACTCTTAGAACACGTCTACTTTTTTTTTTGCGACGAGGAGAACGATTGAATATATTTTCTTTTATAACACAGGGGACAAACGAGCATGCGGCTCACCTGATGGTAAGTGATTACCGCCGCCCATGAGCGCCCGCAACACTAGGGGAAATGCAAGTACGTTGTCGGCCTTTTAAAAATGAATAAGCTCTTTTCTTGAAGGTTTGAATATCGTATCGGTTCGGAAGTACCATTGCTGGAAGGTGATTCCACAATGTGGTTGTGCGAGGCAAAAAGTTTCTAGAAAACCGCACTGCGGGAGACCGCCATTCATCCAGGTGATCAGGAGGGTATTTTTGTATGGTATTTTTGTTTCTGGCGGGTGGTACGGTGGTAAAACTCAGCAGCTGGTATTAATCCGAACAATTCCTCAGAACACTCCCCGTGATATATGCGGTAGAAAATGCACAGAGATGCGATATCTCGCCGCAAACCCAATGGATCGAGTTTGTCACATAGACGTTGATTACCAATGATATATATGATCGTATCTAATAGTGTAATAACCCCAGCCGGGACATTTACCGACGTAAACACTTGTCCATCGACACAATTAAGAACTGTCAACACAAATGACGTGCGACACAACACAACAATACGTCTACCTAATATTGTTTCCTTTTATGACGTTAATTCGTGATGAACGGCTGTTTTAGAAAACATATTTCAAACTAGCTGTACACGCGACTTCGTCCGCGTGAAATTTAACTTTATTTTTCTAACATAACCGTAGCCTATGTTACTACGGTTCCTATGTTGTTTAAGGTTTAGAATGTTCTCAATGCTAACATCAGGGGGGAAGGGAATTGTGTAATGTGGACTCATGACCCCATTACTAGCTATACCATGTCAGGTTGACCTCCACGCGGTTCCCCTGGAAACCATCGTGATAAATTCCTGGTGAATTTGTCACGATGGGCTGACTGGTCTGACCCGTGAGGTCACTCATCTTATCATCCTCTACTGGTGCCCCTCCAGCGTAAACCGTTAGTGCAGGTGGGTGTACCATTCCATTAACATAAAAAAAAAGCCCAGATTTATATGTTTGCTATTTTAGTATGTTAATTATATCTGTATAATCATAATCTATACATATAAATAAAATTGGAGTGTCTGTTTGTAATATTGAAATAATCGTTTTTTACTACATGCATATGAATATAAATACGGTACAAACACCAAAATAACATTTTTTACAATTTTCGTCTATCTGTCTGTTTGTCGCGGCTAATCACTGAAATGGCCGGACTGATTTTGACGGGACTTTTATTGGCAGGTAGCTGATGAAATAAGGAGTAACTTAGGCTACTGTTATATTAGAAAAATAAAGTTAAATTCCACGCGGACGAAGTCGCGAATACAGCTAGTTCATCAGTAAAAACTCAGTGAGAATTGCAATAATCTCCTGGATGTCCTAACATAATCAATACAAGGTTACAATATTAGCATTGTAGACGGGTTTGCCTGCACCGTACCCAGCAAAAGGACAGCCAAATGTGGGTCAAAGGCGGATTTAACCGGTTTATTACATGACATGTCAATAGCCCGTGTGCAATTCATGTTTGCAATATATATACAAGGTAATAAAACGGCGATACTGTATCAAAACACGATACACAAGGTTTATCACTATATCGCTCATTGTACAGTTTCAAGTTGATTTTTATTAATCGAGCCAGCGATCTACAGTATGAAGAGTCGTGACTCATTAAGAGAGAAATTTAAAGAGGCAAATATTCTCACCGTTGCTTCTAATTTATATATTCAAATATCATATATGTTCATAAAAATCTTGACTTATTTCCGAAAAACAGCAATATTCATAATATTAATACTAGATTTAAAGACAAACTTGCTGTCCCTAAGTATCGTTTAGAAAAAGTCAATAGGTCTTTTATGGGAATAGGTATAAAAATTTACAATAAGACACCAAAGGATATATTGGAATTACCCTTAAATAAATTCAAAACATCTGTTAAATCATATTTACTGAGCAAAGCCTATTACTCACTAAACGATTACTTGAATGACGAGCGTGCATGGCAATAGTTGTTCATTTAATGATAGACATAGACACCTATATAAATATATATTGTAAATAAACTGTCTGTTTAAAAAAAAAGTAATCAACTGAGTTTCTTGCCAGTTCTTCTCAATTGGATCTATATACCAAACTGGACGGTAGGGAAAAAAATTAACATTATAATGTTTGACGTTCATAAGCGGCTAAAATGTCCTACCTGAATAAATGATTTTTGAATTTGAATTATGCTGGATCAGGTAGCCCCGGATCTGGAGAGGGGGCTGCTCCAGCTTCTCATAAAGCATTCATTGCAACAACTTAATATTTTTATTGGTGCTCATGTGTCGCGTAATGAGCGGTCACGTGATGCAATCGACGCGATGGAGAATCCACCATTTTTTTAACTAATAAATAATTAGTAAATGCATATAATATTCCTGTCATTTTAGGAAATTCAACTAATATGGTACAGTGGACAAACGAGCATGCAGCTCACCTGATGGTAAGTGATTACCGCCGCCCATGAGCTCCCGCAACACCAGATTGTTGTGAAAAAGGAATGCAATATCGTATCGGTTCGGAAATATCACTGCTGGAAGGTGATTCCACAATGTGGTTGTGCGAGGCAAAAAGTTTCTAGAAAACCGCACTTTGGTGGACCGCCATTCATCCAGATGGTATTTTAGTTTCTGGCGGGTACTACTCAGCGGCTGGTATTAATAACAATTCAGAACACTCCGTGATATATGCGGTAAAAATGCACAGTAAATGCCGCAAAGCCAATGGGTCGATAATATTCCTGATTCTGGCTTTTCTGAATGCGGTCAAATTAAACTAATATGGGTACAGAGATGAGAACAGTATTCCATATACGGCCGGATCGGCGCCTTGTCCCACTGTACTGAGCACACTAAGTTTTTTTGAGGCTATTTTAGCCTTGTCCTCCAAATGACCGCAAAACTGAACGTCACTGGATATATCAAAGCCAAGGACCCCGAGATTTTGCTTCACATCAAGGAGAGTGTCTTGAAACTGAGGAGATACGATAAATGGATTCTTTTTAGCGGTAAAATTGTAATATGCTTGTCATTTTAGGAAATATAAATAATAAAAATGCTAAGTGTGCTTGTTTGTCACCATCGTGGTATTATATATTGTTGTGCTCTATTGCAGAAAGTGAAGGACATCAAGGTGAGCCCGGCGGAGGGTGAGGAGGGCGGGTGGGCGCGGGCGCGGGGCGCGGCAGCGCAGGCCCTCTGGTTCCTGTCCACCACGCGGAACATCCTCGTGGTGCTGGTGTGTGCTGCTCTCGCATACTACTTCGACACACAGCAGCAGGCGCCGTTTGTACTCACCGGTACACTTATAATAGTAGTATATGTTAGTTACTATACTCCTCCGAAACGACTTGACCGAAGTAATACTCGAAAAGTCTTTAGCTCGCTGACTATTGCATTATCGGTGCAGAAATAGCCGGTCCCTATGTGAGAAATAAGATTTTTCAATACGATCTTCAACGTGGTAAGATTAAATATATAATATTACTATCTATTATCTATAATATTGCCCCGGCTTCGCCCGGTGTACATGTATTATACATATGAACCTTCCTCTTGAATCACTCTATCTATTAAAGAAACAGCTTCAGAATCGGTTGCGTAGTTTTAAAGGTTTAAGCATACATAGGGACAGACAGCGACAGCGACTTTGTTTTGTACTATGTAATGATAATGACTAGCTACTCGCCCGGCTTCGCCCGGTTGTATATGTATTATACATATAAACCTTCCTCTTGAATCACTCTATCTATTAAAAAAACCTCTTCAAAATCCGTTGCGTAGTTTAATGATTTAAGCATACATAGGGACGGACTGACAGCGACAGTAACTTTGTTTTATACTATGTAATGATTTTGTTGGTCCTAATACGCAACCTCGGATTTGTAAAGTGGAGCTGTATATATTTTTGTCAGGTGAGGTGAAGTCTGGCCTGCCGCAGCTGAAGCCGCCGCCGTTCTCTGCGACGGTGGGCAACCACACGTACTCGTTCGTGGAGATGACGTCCACCCTCGGCTCCGCCATCTTCGTGGTGCCCCTTCTCTCCATACTCGAGAACATCGCCCTCGCAAAAGTCTTCTGTTAGTATCTTTTTCTTAACACTGAAGTTGGAATTTTTATGAATGGATCTTATACTATTATTAGGAAACGAACCGTTACCCGTAACTTCGTCCGTGTGGAATAAAATAGGTTTTTGTTAATATAAATAAAAGTTTGTTCATTGTATTTGCAGCGTCTACAATTTTTTTTCAACACAACCTATGGTTGGCTGGTAGAAAATGGCTTATGGCATTAGTAGTGTATTGAAATTATTATCATCCTCATTGATTCTCTCCTCAAGATGAATTAGAAGTCATCTTATTCTTCAGCATGTATTAGTCTACTGATGGACATACGCCTCTTGCATAATTTTCCTCTTTCTTCGATTCGCATCACAATCTTCAATTGCATCGCATCGCATCGCATCTTGTTCAGGTTGGCCCTGCTGTTTTTTGGTGTCTTCCAACCTGGCCTGCCTACGTTTCTGCTTCCCATCCTAGGTCACCAAATTAGGGATCTGTATGTCATCTCTCATCCCTGCTTATACATACGTAGCCGGTCCAACACCACTAGCTGAAGCTTTTGAAGATGTAGATAACTCTAGTGCGTCTTCTGATCTCATTGCCTTACTCTTATCCCATTACTTGTAGTGGACGTAGTATGTCCACCACTTCCACAGATTCCTGATTCGTCATATCTGAGCTTCCTCTCCTATTATACATATCATCCTTCACAGAATCCATCCATCTTTTTTATCGTCCTTCGGCAAAGTGAAGTCTATATTTGATTTAGAGTGAGAGTGTTCGTTTGTCCTGCAGCTGAGGGTAAATACATAGACGCGACGCAGGAGATGGTGGCGCTGGGCGTGTGCAACATCGCGTCGTCGCTGGTGGACTCGATGCCGGTGTCGGGCGCACTGTCCCGCGGCGCTGTCAACCATGCGGCTGGCGTCGCCACCACCGCCGGCGGACTCTACACCGGTGCACTCGTCCTACTCTCCCTGCAGGTAGCCCTACACTACTACAGTACCCTTCACTCGGTAGCTAGCTGCCTTTTTTGCGGACTACTCTAATGCTGTTGGCCGCAGCTGGCCTTTACAGCTTCGCCGGACGATAGGGGGCGAGTGCAGATGGCACTCCAAACCAAGGAAGGACTTATGGAGCGGCGAGTGCAGATGGCACTCCAAACGTTATAATTATGGACAGAACGGAAGAACTTGGCAGTTAGAAGTAATATGTTGGCGGCTGACAAAACAAGTCAAAATAACACTTTTTAAGGCATTTTGTCAACACTGGCGGCTTGTGGGTCAATAACAAAAAACCTACAATGCTCTTCGAATATAACAATGCCTTTCGGGCACTGGGCCACCAGCGCGTGTTTGCGCACAGATATGCTATACAGAATAACGATTAGGCAGAGTGCGGGCGAGTTCCAACAGTGTCCTGAAGACAATTGCTTGTAAAGTAGACTGTCCCATTCTAAGACACTGGGCGGGACAGGGGACAGGTAATATGTTTAAAGTTACATTTTTATTTTATTATATATTTTATTACTAACATAGGATAAGTTATGTCATTAAGCTGTTACTGTTAGTAACAGCTTAATGATCAATCAATGGATCATGTTGTCTGAAATAAAAATTATTATTATTATTATTATTTTCTTTTTTCCAAAAATTCTCATCTCCCCTCTTAAGGAGAGGAGATGGCAACATACCCCCGGCAGAAGCTTATTATTATTATTATTATTATTATTATTATGAAAGTTGACGTTTGTATTGGACGGGGGATCGATCGAAGGGGAGCTAGCTGCCGTCGTAGTCGCAGTGGACTGAAACTACGATCCAACGACTCCAGCTCATGGTGCTAAATGCGGGACATCTTGGAATTTTTGAGTGCCCCCTTACAGTGTCTAGACTATCTGTTTACCCAATTTCATTTAAATCGGTTCAATAGTTTTGGCGTGATAGCGCGACAGAGTTACTTTCACATTTATAATTTTTGTAAGGATATCCGACCGTCCATTCTTGCTTGCTTTTGTTTCTTCTACCTCTACATTACAAATGTTTTAAACTATAACGTTGTATGAGATAAATATAATATTTCTAACATGACTTATGAATATTTGTGTACTTTCAGTACTTCACGCCCTACTTCTTCTACATCCCGAAGGCTTCGCTGGCGGCCGTCATCATAGCGGCCGTCGTGTTCATGATGGAACTCCACGTATTCAAACCCATATGGAGGACTAAAAGTGAGATAACCAATTGTATAACTAGCTACCCACCCGACTTATCACGGGTGTATTGTATTATGCATATAAACCTTCCTCTTGAATCACTCTATCTATTGCAAAAAACTGCATTAAAATCCGTTGCGCAGTTTAAAAGATCTAAGCGAACAGACAGTGGAAGCGACTCTTTTTTATATTATTGGTTCTTTTTACATTATTTTTAATTTGCATGTGGAATGTAAACATAGGTAATATAGTATTAATTATTGATATTTGTGTACTAAAAATGTACCTTAATATGAAACTATCTATTCCTAAGAACAATGTAATACCACCATCATCATCTGCTTCTTCCTTATCCCACTTATTTGTGGTCGTCGTAATATGTTTTTCTGTTCCATTCATCTCTGTTCGCAGTCATCTCATTATTTACCCGAAACCATCGTGATAGAGACTGGTCTGCTCTAATCATTATGACTGATTTCCTCTTATTAATTGTTTAACCAGTTGGTTATATATTCAATATTTTTTCTATTTGAGTATTTAATTGAATTAGTGCCAATTGGTGGTTTGTATTCACACACTTAAACTTAAAAATGTAAAGTAATAATAAAATTATTAAAAAGAGCAACACGCAAGTTTCTTGCTCATTCTTCTTGTGATGAGACAGCTTTCCAAACGAGCGGTAGATTAAAAAAATGTAATGACTATTCAAAAGTGCTTCAATGTAAGTTTATTTGAATAAATGATTTTCTATTCTATTCTATTCTTATAAATTCTTGATGAATTTGTCACGATGGCCTAATTGACCTGATCTCATGCTCATCTGAACATCCTTCACTGGTGCCCTGCCATTCCATTATGGTCTATACATATAATAAAATTGGAATTTCTGTTTGTAATACTGAAATAAACGTTTTTTACTACTACATGTATATGAATATAAATACGGTACATACACAAAAATAACACTTTAAAATTTTTCTTTGTCTGTCTGCCTGTCTGTTTGTTCCGGCTAATCTCTGAAATGGCTGGACAGATTTTGACAGGACTTTTATTGGCAGGTAGCTGATGTAATAAGGAGTAACTTAAACTTTTATTTTAGAAAATATAATTAAATTCCTAATAGCTAGTTTATAATAAAAAAACACTGATGACAGAGCTGGACATAATCCCGGCGGTGGTGACTTTCGGCGCGTGCCTGGTGACGCGGCTGGAGCTCGGAATCGTGATCGGTATCGCTCTCAACCTTGTGTTCCTGTTGTACGCCTCCGCGAGACCAGCCGTCAAAGTTACACATGCTATTGTAAGTATCCTAATATTACTATTTTACTAGCTCTGCCCGCGATTTCAACTGCGTGCAACTTCGTCTCCACCACACTTATTTGACATTTATCATTATTTTCGCCCAATTTACATATATTTTTTAATTATAACTTATGTATAATTCTGATGTATAAGCTATTGTAAAGTTTCATGAAAATCCATTCCGTAGACTTACGTGAAAGTGTATCAAACATTATTAATACATTTATAATTACGAGTCCCTGTGTCCCCAAAATGAATTTTGTGACCTCAAAAATGTCCCGTTTTTGGAAACTCCGCTAAAGTTGGTATTGAACTGCGCTAAAATCTGTGTGGTCAAGCGGGTCGGTTGTGATGTTGATTATTGTTGATAATTAGGTGAATGTAATAAAATGTGCCAAGAGTTTCAGTCTTACTTAAAAGCTTCATTAGATTTATTAAAGCAAATTTGTTCGTCCAATAATACTTGACTTTTAATGCTTTGGTCCGTGATGATGCGGCTCTAATGCTCAGATGGTAGTTGATGTTGCGGCTCGAATAGTAGATGGTAGTTGATGTTGCGGCTCGAATAATAGATGGTAGTTGATGTTGCGGCTCGAATAATAGATGGCAGTTGATGTTGCGGCTCGAATAATAGATGGTATGTGTTGATGACTTCAGCAGATTACAGGGTTGTTAAAATTATAGATTTTGGTTATAATCTTGAATTTATTGGGTAAATACGATGATAAATTACAATTTTGGCGGCGTGAACATAAGTACGTTAGATCGATCAAATAGATTTTATAAAGTCTGTACGTTACGTTGCATATTTAAATTGGATGGGTGTGCGCTCCAATCAGAACGCTCCCTTTGTGTTGCGTTTTGTTGCTGCTTGTACGCGACATGCTTAAAGATTGTTTTTATTTTTTTACTATTAATTGACATAAATAAACCAATATTCCGTTTTGTTTCAAAGAATAAATGGTCACGTTAGGAATGACAAGGCAAACCAAGGCAAGCCTAGGCCTATGCACAACAAAAATCTGCAGATTTTGCCAAACTGAAGAGGAAACGCTACTACACATCCTATGTGGTTGTAGCCCACTCATGCATAAACGAAATATCTCCTTTGGAAATTTTGCACTCTATCCTGAGGAGATAAAAACCATCGCTCCTAAGAATATCCTTCAATTCTTGTCCCTGACGGTTCTAGGTAGCGAACTCTGAAAAGGGCGAGCACAATAGATATATGTAGGTCGCAGTGCTACAGGTGCTACAAACAACTGACAATAGCCCAAACAACCCAATAAAAAAAATATCTGTGACAAATGGCACGTGTGCTTACAGTCTCGCGACGGTATCTCGCACGTGGTGGCGACGGTGGACCGCGCGCTGTCGTTCCCGTCGGCGGAGTACGTGCGGCGCGCGCTGCGCAAGGCCGCAGCTAGTGCTCCCGCCGCGGCGCCGCTCGTCATCGACGCCACGCACGTGCAGGCCGCGGACTTCACCGCCGCCAAGGTAAGGTACCACCATTATCGGCCACTCGAACTACCACCCACTTAAGTAAAGATTTATTTGCCTCAGAATAAGTATATGTATTTTATTCACAAACCAGCTACAAAAACTTAGTAGTCTGTAGTTCTGTACTATTCGAGAAAAGAGTATAAGAAAAAATATAAGACCGTCTTGATTAGAAAACAAATATATATACTGACTAGCTTTTGCCCGCGGCTTCGCTCGCGTTAAGACGTATTATTATTAATTAGGTATAGTTTTTGCGGCTTTAGTTTCCTTTCTTAGGGGATGCCTACGTCATAGTAGCTTTATGCATGCAAAGTCTCAGCCCGATCGGTTTAAAATTGACAAAGTTTCATACAAACTTTCATCACCTATTTTATCCCCTTAGGGGAGGAATTTATCAAAATCCTTTCTTAGCGGATGCTACGTCATAACATCTACCTGCATGCCAAATTTCAGCCCGATCCGTCCAGTGGTTTGGGCTGTGCGTTGATAGATCACTACGTCCGTCACCTTTGAGTTATATATACTTATGTTATGTTAATTGAGCTCACACAAATTTATTTTTGAGTTATTCAAATACTGTTGGCCGCAGCTGACGACCTTTGTTAAAGGAAAAAAATATATATATAGCGCGATATACAAACCAGCGTCATATATTATTGCTTTTCAGAAACATTAATCAGCATGGAGGATGCATGATTCCATTATAAAACTATTAATTTATTTTAGTTAGCTAATTAGCAAAGTTATTATATATTAGTATTATTCAATTGAATAATTGCAGAAGACAGTGAAACTTCTATCTATTTCTTAAGACGTTTGTAACCTGTACTTTACAAATAAAGTATTTCAATTTGAATTTGAATCTAAAACTATTGTAACTGATTTTTTTTTCTAAATTTGCATTTAAATTTATAGTTCTTTTATATACCTACTTCATTCTGTCTTGTCAATAGTTTCTATAGTTTTCCTTTCATATATACACATTTATACATATAAATAAAATTGGAGTGTCTGTTTGTAATATTTAAATAACCGTTTTCTACTACATGCATATGAATATACGGTACATACACCAAAATAACATTTTTTACAATTTTTGTCTGTTTGTCTGTTTGTAATGGCTGTACCGATTTTGACGGGACTTTTTTTGGCAGGTAGCTGCTGTAATAAGGAGTAACTTAGGCTACTTATATTTTAGAAAATATCATTTATTTTAGAAAAATAAAGTTAAATTCCACGCAGACGAAGTTGGATTTACAGCTACTTCATCAATAAAAACTCAGTGAGAATTGCAATAATCTCCTGCATGTCCTAACATAATCAACACAAGGTTACGATATTAGCATTGTAGACGGGTCTACCTGCACCTTATCAACGAAGAAGAAACGATGATCGCGTGTACAGCTAGTATAAAATAAAACTACAACAAAAATTCAATCGACAGGGTATAAAGTCCCTGATCGAGGACTTCCACGAGCGCGGTCAGACGCTGATCTTCTACAACGTGAAGCCGTCGCTGGCGGGCGTGCTGCGCGGCGTGCGGCCGCGCGAGTTCGTGCACTGCGCGACGCGCGCAGAACTCGACCGGCTGCTGCTGCGTGCGCACGCGCACACCCACGCGACGCACGCGACGCCCACGTGTCAGTATTCTTCACTTACTTTTTTTTTAAACGAACGAAAATTTATTTATATAACTTAATTCTACATCTAAGAACCTAAAATTAAAAATATATTATCAAAAGGAGTCCCTCTAAGCAAAGTTCCGATTTTTTTTCGAACTACTCTATTGCTGTTGGCCGCAGCTGGCCATTACAGCTTCACTGGATGATAGGGGGCGAGTGCAGATGGCACTCCAAACCATAGGAAGGACTTATGGAGCGGCTGAAGGCCAACTCCTGCCTGACGGATACGACTTTAGACTGAGGGCACCACTAGAGGTTCGAACCTCGGCTCAGGCCGTCAGGCCGAGCAAGTTATAATACTGTTATGAGCAATATATGAAAAAATGGAGCATCTTAAAATAACGAATTTGATATGAAATTGTATACACCGTTGTTACCCAATATACGGTTTCAATGAGTCTGGTAACCAAGAAAACTGTCTGGCAATTTAGGAAACTCAGTTTAATAGTTCTCTCAATAATATATATAAAGTTCAGCTTTATTAAAATGACGTAAGTTTGTTTCTAAAATAGTATAGTTTAGGGGGGTCCGGCGGGGGGTTGGAACCACACTAAGGGTCTGGCAACGAGCAGAGCAAGTTATAATACTGTTACGAGCAATATGTGAAAAAATGGAGCATCTTAAAATAACGAATTTGATATGAAATTGTATACACCGTTGTTACCCAATATACGGTTTCAATGAGTCTGGTAGGATAAAGAACCAAGGAAACAGTCGGGCAATTTAGGAAACTCAGTTTAATAGTTCTCTCAATAATATATATAAATTTCAGCTTTATTAAAATGACGTAAGTTTATTTCTAAAATAGTATAGTTTAGGGGGGTCCGGCGGGGGGTTGGAACCACACTAAGTGTCTGGCAATGAGAAGCGCAAGTTATAATAATGCTACGAACAATATATGAAAATATGGAGTTTTTTAAAATAACGAATTTGATATGAAATTTTTTACACCTTTGTTACCTGTTACCTGCCAAAGGAACCACGATCCAGGTTTCATGTTTGGGGATCGTTCTTACCTGTGTTGGGGACACACATACAAGAACTTTCACGTTTACTAAAATGACGATATGAACGAATGATATTGTCTTCGGTAGTATTGGTCGCCAAATTTCTGGGACTAACAATATGTTTTCACAAAAACAAATATTTTTGTCTACCCACTAACAAAAATATTCCAGTCTTCAGCCGCTGCCTATTCGCTTATATCTTTTAAATTACGCAACAGATTTTAATACAGTTTTCAGCAATAGATAGAGTGATTCAAGAGGAAGGTTTATATGTATAATACATGCGTGTTATAGTATAGAACAAGTCGAGAAATACAAAGATTCGTGAAGCCGGTAGTATATTATGCAATTCAAAATTCAAAAATAATTTATTCATGTAGGACATTTTAGCTGCTTATAAACTCAATTGAATTACTTATTTTTTAAAGCCAGTTTATTTACAATGTATATTTATATAGGTGTCTATGTCTAACATTAAATGAAAATCCCGTGCATGAGTAATTTTTAATTTAGTAAGGATTTGCTCAGTAAATATGATTTTTTTTTCTCTTTCGCAGAGCATTAGCAGCGGGCGCGCCCCACATACAGATCTCAGCGCGCGACTCCGGCTGTCTTCAGTATTTATTGTATATAAATATACATTTATGTAGTTATTTATGTGTGCACCTAGGTACTAGTTGCTTAGTGATTATTTAGTGATATGCGAGTGCAGTGGACGGTTAGATAGTAAAGTGTTGCTTATTTGTTGGTTTTTATATCGTATATTATTTTTATGTACATAATATTGTCGGAATACTGTTATTCTGCTACAGATAAGTATAATAAAGATGTGATGACAGTTAAATGTTGTTTTAATGTTAGTGTAATTTTGAATATTTAATTGAATTATTTTTAATATATGTTAGGGTTCACATCATTATTGTCGAAAGATCTGATATTTTTAAAATATTAAATGGTAGTTTCATATCTTCTCTGTATAAAAGGGAGAGTTTTTATAAACCACGGCACCCCTCCGATCGATCCCCCGTCCAATTCAAACGGGGATCGAAATTACGACGGCCTGAGCCGAGGTTCGAACCCCTAGCGGTGCCCTCAGACTAAAGTCGTATCCGTCAGGCGAGAGTTGGCCTTCAGCCGCTCCATAAGTCCTTCCGCGGGTTTGGAGTGCCATCTGCACTCGCCCGCTATCGTCTGGTGAAGCTGTAAAGGCCAGCTGCGGCCAACAGCATTAGAGTAATCCGAAAAAAAAACCACGGCATTCGGTGTTCGAGCACATAATTTTTATACCTCTAAGAGTAGCTCACCTCAAAATATTACATTTTAATTTTTACGACAATTTTGTACAGCCTTAAAATTTTCACCCTTCTATCACCAACTCCTATTTCTTAAAAGCGATTTTCAAGTATATGTCAAAATAACATTTTCCGAGTCAGCTAGTATATATATATACTAGCTGACTGGCAAATGTTATATATACATATATATATATATATAAGTATGTATGTCTCAAGCCAATCGGATTTTCCTACTAGCTACAAATTTAAATAAAACAACATAATAATTTGGATATAATGAAATGTTTATTTTACAAACCTCGACACAGTCCGATGCGGATCGCACAGCCTTCACATGTGGCGGGACTTGCAAATTTTCGTTACACTACATCTTACCGACTTTACAACTACGAGATAATGTGAATTATAATTATACATACACTATCAGTATCAGTACATACATATGTAAAGGTAATTTCACTAATAAAATCAAATTCATCCTAAACACAAGGGAGTAAGAACTAAAATTACACGGCGTCATATAGCACCGACGATACACAATATTTTGAGCACAATTAATACATATTTTAAAACAATATTTGATTGAATACGAACGAGTATATAAAACTTAACTTATTACATTTGAAACTACTGAAAAGTGAGCACGGGTTCAGTAAATGGTACAGGACCCTATTTTGGTTCACCCTCTGTTGAACTTGTTAAATACACAGATTAAATAATATAAACGAGTTGCAGTTATAGAATTTGTCGATCTCGTCATCACTAATAATAATAATAATAATCTCAGGACAATTCACACAGCGCCATCTAGACCCAAGTTAACCTAACTAAAGCTTGTGTTATGGGTACTGGAGAACTGATACAAATACATAGATATTTTTTTCGTAAATACATAGGAAACACCCAGACCGATACAAACAATCATACTCATGAATACAAATGTTTGTGCCGTGCGAGGAATCGAACCCGCGACCATCGGATGTAGGGCGGTGTCCACCGAAGCCGTGAATAAAAGAATCAGTCAATCTAATGCACTGAAATAGGGGGGACGGGGATTGTTAGTAATGGGAATTTGTAACTCCCATTGCTAGCAATGTACCATGTTAGGTCGACCTCCACGTGGTTCCCCCTGGATAACCATCGTGATAAATTCTTGGTGAATTTGTCACGGTGTGCTAACTGACCTGACCTCATACTCATCTTATCATCCTGCACTGGTGCCCCGCCAGCGTAAACCGTTAGCGCAGGCGAGTGCATCATTCCATTATCTTACAAAATAAAAAAATGCAATGAAATAATATCTTTCAGTGCTTCAACAAATTTCATTAACAGGTATGACATCATGAGCAATTGGATAGCTTATATTCATACACAAAAACATATGCAATTTAAGCAACGGTTCAGAGTTCAGACCGACGGTCAGACTGTCGTAATATCCGGTCGCCTCTCTGATCAATCCCCGTCCAATTCAAACGGGGATCGTGCAGAGAGGCGACCGGATGCGCCTATGTTGAGAACCCGAACGTTCGTAAGAGACCGTTTGATTGCGCTTGAGGTTGTTGAGGTCGACGCCTTCGCCGGCGAGGACGGTGTCGTGTGTTCATTGAAACGTGGTACCTTAATAACTGCAACGCGTTTAAGTCTGTCAATTTCAACAATACTACAAAGAGGTTACAAACGGTCAGAGGAAGACGAACTGCGTATAGAGATCAAGAGCTATCCACGTCTCCACACACGGACAGAACGAGCAAACAATATATATAGACGGACATTTTGAGATGTATATAATACAATATTTGAGCTGACTGTACGTCCGTATGCGAAGACAATATTACGACGCGGCTAAGAGAATATATTATTACATCTAATGGTACTACGCAATGTATGATGCTGGCGGCTATCGAGGTGAGGAGCTGAGGTGGTCGCAGTCACGAGTGGCTTCAGGGACGCGCGTCGTCATTCTCTTTATTCAATTAATTTATAAATTCATATTAGCAATACATTATATTTAATCCAGGGATGTTATGGATATGAAATTTCGGATACGGATAGGTTTCGGATATTATACCGGATACGGATATGAAATTATTTCGGATTATCCGTTAGTTTCGGATAATTACGGTTACGGATAATAATCTTTTAAGGAATTTCAAAAGTAAAATACAAATAGCTAATAAAATGGTTACATAACTCAATTAGTCCCCGCCCCTATCCGATATTGTCCGAAACTTATTTCGGATTCAGTTACGGATCTCCTTAACATCCCTAATTTAAACCTACAGTCCATTTTTATTGATCCCTTAGGGCCTTGACAGTGGTCCTTCGAGCCGACCGGCCACTGCGACGACCTCGATGCCCCCGTACCTCGATTCCTGGCAGTATCATACATTGCGTAGTAACATCTAATAAAAAATGTATTTAAAATAAATATTTCACATTTCATGAAATATTATTTAATATCATGTTATAGACAAACATACAGCCGCCACCTGGCGGCCACATCGCTTAACGTTCAAGAGCCGCGTCGTATACCAACCTTCCTACGAAATCCAACAGAACTGTCGCAAAATAGTTCATAAGTTATATAAAAAAAGTTTTAGTTTATAATCATAGCATAATCTATACATATAAATAAAATTGGAGTGTCTGTTTGTATAAGAGGCTGTATTAGAACTACATGACTAAAGAATTTTTGTTTTTTTAGATAAAAAATAAATGCAGAAAACAACTTTTTGTTTATTGAAATAAAACAAATGTGCAGGAAATTGCGTCAATTCCATTGAACTTAGTAAAAATTTCCAACGGTATTAAGAAATCCGACACTACCCAATCAACATTTGGCATTTAGACTTTCTCATTTAGTATTTATTATTAATATAGTTAAACTGTTTTTAACACTAATAATTATGGCAAATAAAGGTATCTCTCTAGACATTTCGACTAGGTTGCACTGGTGTTTCTTATTAGTTAATATTATATTAGATTCTGCAGATTCTGTCAAGCAAAAGAGGAAATGCCACTACACATCCTATGTAGTTGTAGCCCACTCATGCATAAAGGAAATATCTCCTTTGGAAAGTTTACACTCTATCCTGAGGAGATAAAAACCATCGCTCCTAAGAATATCCTTCAATTCTTTTCCCTGACGGTTCTAGGTAGCGAACTCTGAAAAAGGGCGAGCACATGACATAGCGGGAAGAAGATTGTTAGTAATGTGGACTGATGATCTTATTGCTAGCAATGTACCTCCACGCGGTTCTCCCTGGAAACCATCGTAATAAATTCCAAGTCAATTCATCACGATGGGATAACTGACTTGACTTCATGCTCATCTTATCATCCCCCACTGGTGCCCCGGCAGCGTAAACCATTAGCGCAGGCGGGTGCACCATTTCATTAACCTTAAAAAAATCCAACATCCCAAAATCCTGAATAAAAAAAGTCATCTTATCATCCTCCACGGGTGTAATCCTTTAGCTCAGCGGGTGCACCATTCCATTGACCTTAATAAACCTAACCCAATCCCTCAATAAAAAAATTTGTAAATATTTGCCATAAAATTATTCGTGTTAAAACCAGTTTAACGATATTAATATTTAAATAAACGTCCTAACTAATATAGAATATGACACGTGTATACTACAATAGACATTTGCACTCGAAACGCGCTCCGAGTCAAAAATAAAATTGAATAACATAGCTTACCTATATATAATTAGTATACGGCGACATAGTCGTTCACTAGGAGCGGACTTTTATGATTCTTTATTTGTGTATTTTGACCTCAAGCTGTTATTAAATATAATTTATTTTCTAAGACCATAGAACAGACCCTACACCAATTTTGAGGAAATAGCTGATGGGATGAGGATGGACCTTTTCTTTTCAAAATGTATAAATTGTGTTCGCAGCCGCTGTATTAAAGGGAGATCATATATCAAACAACTAAAAAAAAAATCAGTACAATTTGACACAACCATGTGTTAAATAATTTTAATTGTTCCCAATATCATCCTGACTTGACAGCGTCAAATGGCGTCAATATAATCGCACTATAGACAGATGACGTCATTTTCACCACGTTACATACGAAATACGTTACGATCGAAGTTACTATGTAGTTAGATATTTGTGTGTAATTACAAAAAAATATGTATTAAGAAAAAAGAAAAGTAATTCAATTGAGTTTCTTGCCAGTTCTTCTCAATTGGATCTATATACAGAACTGGACGGTAGGGAAAAATTAAAATTATTTATGTAAAAAATTTGACGTTCATAAGCGGCTAAAATGTCGTAAATAAATAAATGATTTTTTAATTAGACAGAAATTACTTCTGTCAACTTATTCAGTTTAGTACAAGCTCTGCTTAGTTTGGGACTAGATTGCATTGCATGTTACAGATTAGAAAAAACACTTCAGGTCAAAACGGGTAATACAAATTAAACAAATAAAGAATCACCGTCCGCTTGGTTTGGTCGTTGCGACGTTACTACAACTGTCGCACGCACCAATACGTTACATTAGTTGTATATCTTTAATAATAAATGCATAATCTCGTCCGCGTGATTCAAGTGTGAGCGAGCACACTGCACCACCATCTCTTTCCATCACTCCATCGCTTTTCCATTCGGACCACTACCAAACAAATTGTATTGAATATCAGAAGTGCGGCACGATGAAAAAACGAGAGAGAATTTCCTTAACTACCTACAAATTGTAGAAAACATTATTATAATATAAAAATTAAATGCTAATATATTTCGTGTAATTGAGAAAATTATACGGTCCTTAATTCAACCTATATCTTTGCTCCAACAGTATCGAATTTGGCGACATCTATTGGAATTTAATAATAAAAAAACTACTTCACATTTCAGTATCTCGTATAACACTTAATCGCAATTAAAATCGCCACATGTCTAATAATTATACACCTAAAATTAATATAATAAGCTATAATAATATAAAGGAATCTCACAGATTTAGAAATCAGATTTTGTGCGGTATTGCATCCCGCGATCTCTCAACAAACGTATAGAGTTCAAAATCATTTAAAGCCATCGCCATCTTGCAGCAGATTATACTAGGACAAAATATACCTAGTTATAAAACAATTAGGGATTGGACAGTCCAAATATGGCAGTTATGGAGCCGACTACCTTCTCCACCACTTATATTTACATACAGACACTACCTTCTATTTTACTATAATATTCATAGTTACTACGTACAACGTCGAATAAGTTTAACGATCATACATTGACATATCCTATTTGTGATGGACTCATTCTGATTAAACGCGTTATCCTACCTCATAGGACCAATATCTAAAGTGCATATTACACTATCTTGTATATTTGTTACATTTAGGGAAGTATGTATCAGTGACCATAGATTATAATTACGGTAAACATGTCCTAATTTCATACCAATTTGTATGTATGAGACAGCGTCGAATCAGAATAAATCTTTCTCATACAATATAGTTGTCGAACTAGCTCCGACCAGTCACCACAACCATACATTACAATCATTACATTCGCACCGATATTCAAAATATAATTATTCCTTGAAAGTACATAACTACTCTATTAAGCGTGCTTTCACTGCCGAAGAATTGTAACGCCATTCTATAAAAAGAAACAAAACAATGTAAAACGAAAAAATTGAATTATTTGAAACTTCAAAAGCAAAATATTAATATATTTTTTATCGAAGATTTATATACATGTTCTATTCCTCAGCTCTACCTGTCTTATTCAACATAACGATCTTAATACTAGGCTATTACCGATAATAAATACACCTTGCTTTTCGGGGTCATTCATGTATGGTTAGGTTTTTAGAACATGTTTAAATCATTCGGAAATATTGAAAGTTTATTGTTATAAAATGCAGACGTTACGGCACTTCGGTAGGGAATGCACATAGAGAATTATGCATTCGTCTTTACTGATATAAATATATCTTCTTGTAATTGCTATGGAAAAATAGACTATAAAGTATAAGTCTATAAAGTGTAATTTTAGTTGCAACGTTTAACGTTTCGTGTTGCCTTGTCAGTTTGCATCAGGGAGTCCTCAGTACTTCAGCAGATCTTCGTCCAGTTCAGTGAGCGCCAGTTTACTGTCTATCACTGGAAAATAAAATTATATATTATAACAACACGAACTTAAAGAGTATATCATAAGAGAGGTATATATATGAGTATGGATGGATGTTTGTTTCCCGTTCGTGCAAAAACTACTGCACGAATTTTGATGAAACTTTACAGTAATGTATCTAATACATTAGAGTAACATATCGGCTATAATTTAGGAAGACATTATGTAAATTAGGCGAAATATAATGATAAATATCTAGTATAATATAAATCTGTTAAGAAACTTATTGTTTCATAAATATTCTAATACTGTTGTACACACCTAGTTTTCACCAGACAAAAAAAAATACTAAAAAATATTAATAAGTAGTGATAGATTTTGTTGTATGTTTATAGTTTATAATTTTACATAGAAACTAAATTACGGATAAGTAAATTAATGAGTTCTGTATTAAGGAATTATTCGAAGAATTAACTACTTTTTCATATATATTACGTAACTAACCCGCTTTTGAGTATCTCTGCACTCTCTAAGGTTAGCATTAAACTCGCCTATTGTACAAAATTCAACAAAATTTTAAATAAATAAATATATATTGTATGTTATGGTTTTGACTTTGATTATTAGACACCAACTTTTGAAACCAAATTTGAAATTTGAAATAGTGATGGTTCGAAAATGCAAACCAAAATTGCTACTTCACAAGTCCCAAGTCATTTGTTTACTGGACCATTACACACAGCGCCATTTGGTCCCAAACTAAGCAGATCTTGTATTATGGATTGTAGATAGTACACAAAAATACTTAAATACGTAAATATACACAATAAATAAACTCTTATCCAATGTAATCATAGTCACGAATACAAATAGACGTATCGTGCGAGAATCGAACCCGCAACTATCTGAAGTAACATAGTGCTAAAGCTCTAGACCACCGGTCGTATTGTTTTGTTAGTGTACACGCATGATCGGCAGTGTGTGAACAGCACAGGAGCAGCACTCATGCAGTGGGGACGTACTCACTTTGGTCCGGGATAGTAGTAGGGCGGGGGTCGCTCGTACTCAGTAGGTCCGTGGTAGCGGGGAGGGCCTTCTTCCCAGTGCCTGTAAATACACACGCGCCACGTGTCACCCGCGCCGCCGTGCACGTGGCCACCGCCCGCACCACGTGCATGGCACTCACGAGAGTTAGTAACAAAACATATCCTATGCAATCAAGCGGTACTGGAGTGTACTGTGAACTCGAATGCAGTCATAGCATGAATTGTTATTCAATACAATTATAGCTGCAGATTATAAATTGATGGGTGTCTTTCTGTTATTATGTTGATTTTCAGTTAATTTACTTCATAATGGAAACTGACAATAAATGACAGTGTGGTAAACTCAATTACCATTCCTTCGTTTTCCTATTTATCACATACAATGGTGGATTAGCAATTTAAAAAAAAAAGTGATATGATAACATAATAACCTGGATAGGGTGGTACTCACTTTGGCGCCATATCATTATATCTGCGCGCGTGGTGTGCGTCGAGAGGCGGCGCCAGCGAGGCGGCCTCCCCCCCCGCGCCGCCGCCGCCCGCTGCCCCCGCGCCCCCCGCGCCGCCCCCTCCCCCGCCCCCGCCGCCCCCCTCGCCCCGGCCCCGCCCGCGCCCGTCGCGCCCGCTCCTCTTCTCTGCCTTGTAGGCGCTGCAACACGCCACCACTCACAAACACGCTCTACTACCAGGCGGAGGACCTACAGATAACTCTGGTAGATACCTTCCCAGGAGTATTAGCCGACTTTAAAATAAAGCATGACTGAGAAGATTCGTCAATAAATTAAGAAGATACAAAATGAATAATGAACGGACTTTTATAGAAAAGAGTTTAAGAAAATTAATTTGCTAATAAACAGCGGAACCGCATTGCAACGCTCTATAAAATACATTCAGACGTATGGAAATAGAAATCACATTTGCATAAGTAGCTCCATTTTAAAACTGCTCTACACATCATCCATTAACTTACCACCTCAATTCTCTGTCACTGAATACTGAACTCTATATACCAGGAATTAGATACTAAATACAATTACTTGAAATTAATATCGCTGCGTTGCATTGCGGCACCTTATCTTAGACCTTTACCTCACATACAATAGAAATTATTATCATAAAAGTAATCATCAAAAAAATGAAGATGGTATTTTGAATTATATAATCAAATATTTAAGATCCTTTATAGCGTGTACATTACAGAATTATCTATCAGCTATCAAATTAAGTATTTTAAACTTGATATCGGCAGTTTTAGATAAGAACAAATTAAAATTATACCAAGTCCCAATAAAGCTTAGATAATGCGCTAAACCCAATAAAAGCGCGCATGCATGCACCGACCAACTAAAACAATTAAACCAAAACCTTAATCCTCTAACAAGCCTAAAGAAAATATTATTAAAATAACGTAAGCCAGTGATTGAATATTTCACGAGGGCCGATTTCCAACATGCCTCTAGCCATGTAATATGTTAAACTACCATAGCTCGAGTTAATAAATTAGACATTATTTAACAGTAATAAATTAGGCTAGTATAATGGTTAATGTAAAATGTTTGGTTAACCAAAACATATTTATTCATGCAGATCTACTACAGACTCATATGATACGTCAAATCTACCGTCAGTTCGGCGTGCGTTCGTACATATTCATTTTGTCCACAACCAGCACCCGTTCACGAATATGAGCTATTGTCAGGCACCTGAACCTGTAGCACTGCGACCTACATAGATCTATTGTGCTCGCCCTTTTTCAAAGTTCGCTACCTAGACCCGTCAGGGACAAGAATTGAAGGATATTCTTAGGAGCGATGGTTTTTATCTCCTCGGGAAAGAGTGTAAACTTTCCAAGGGAGATATTTCGTTTATACATGAGTGGGCTACAATCACATAGGATGTGTAGTGGCGTTTCCTCTTCAGTTTGGCAGAATCTGCAGATTTTTGTCGTGCACAGGCCTAGGTAAGCTATATTCTTGTTCAACTTGTCCTGTGAGGGTCATAGTCATCATGCATATGTTGTTTTTACTCAATAGCAATAGTATATTGGAGTATTTGTTCGAGTAGCCCGATATTAGGGCTTTTGAATGTGTCAATCCTGGCATTTCTTGCCAGTGATTTAGTGCTTCTCGTTTGGCTATTGATTTGAAATGTCCCAGTTTTAGGCAACAATGTTATACTGACTATAACATAACTACTAATTCAAACCTTACTCGTTTAGGAAATATTTCAATCATTTCAATATTATATTCATAATATTTTCTATTAAAACATAATACTAGAACTAAGTACGCTATAACAAAAGAAAGAAACTCCAACCAAAAAATTCCACTCTACAGATATAAAGGTACGGATATATTCACCCAAATACCAAAATTAGACAAATAGTACAATACAAGCAAACGTCAAAGTACTAAATACAATCGTTACCATTACACCAGTGGGTAGTCCTCGTGTGGTAGTAGACACCTGCAGCTGTTAGCCTACTGCCAACTTTCGGCGTACGCTTAACCAATTTTTGGCGGACTTTGGAAGGCAGACATGCACGAGTCAAAGTAACAATTGCGACAATGAATCTATTGGGCTATTTTGAATGATATAGAAAATATTAACTCGTGAGGAATACGTATTTATGTTTGTACATTTGAGTTGAAAAATACATTAGACATTATTTCTCAATTACAAAGCGATATGTTGGACAAATATATATATAGTATATCTTCTAAACAATAGTACGTAACACTAGTATTTAGATCAAGTTATATAGCATTATATTATTTAATATAAAATATATAATACTATAGAGATTGATGGTTTATTTAAATACAAATAATCAGATTTAGATCAGTAAGATTTCAAAAATCATGAGAATTGGACATAAAAATAAAGTAACATGTTTACCTAACTTAAGGTGACAATATAAAAATGACAGTTTCAAAATTAGAAGCTAGAATTGCCTTCTTTTATATAAGTCAATTAAATTAACCACGTCGTCTTAATCATTATCTAAATACTTTTAAAATGATATATAATACTTGTGTGTAAATTTAAAACTTTAAAGGAAAAAATAATTCAAATAAATTTAAAAAACTTTAAATGTACATATGGAATAGTGCCATTTTTCTATTTAACCAACAAAATGTCGTTCTTTAAAATCTGGCATAGTTGAAAAGATATTATTTTTATATTAAAGCAAATAACTAAGGAAATATGTAGTGTTTGTATTTTAATTTGAAACAAATGATTGTGCGAGTTCATAAAAATATTACATATAAGTCCTTATAAGAATCACATGATGCAATAAGGCTGGGGATATACAGACGGTTAGTCGTCAGTTTGTCAGAAAACCGTCCATTTAAAGTGGGCGGGGCCTAGATACCAAATAAGGAAGAAATGTGTTCATCGTGAAAGTTAGTCACATTCTGATAACAACTGACTGTATATCACCAGCCTTATAGGGTATAAATATACACCGAGATACAAGATATAATTTATATATAACTATGTTATACAAGTCTTAAACACTAGTTAGAGATATGTAGAAGGTATATGCTGGATGAGTTTTTTTAACGTGCCGAGAAAAAAGCTATACATATATACGCATATATGTACGCTATATAAAGTATTATATGTAATCAAATTACAATATCAAAAATGTGAATTTTCTCTGACAATACAGTATAAGAGTTTTTAAACAAAAAGGGTGGCACCTACATACAACTTTTTGTTTAAAAAACCTCAATTGGAAAGTACATGACAAAAACTTCGCGATACTGGAACTTTTTTTCGGACTACTCTAATGCTGTTGGCCGTAGCTGGCCTTTACAGCTTCACCGGACGTTATGGGGCGAGTGCAGATGGCACTCCAAACCCGCGGAAGGACTTATGGAGCGGCTGAAGGCCAACTCCTGCCCGACGGATACGACTTTAGTCTGAGGGCACCACTAGGGGTTCGAACCTCGGCTCAGGCCGTCGTAATTTCGATCCCCGTTTGAATTGGACGGGGGATCGATCGGAGGGGCGCCCGGGGGCACCGGTGTGGAGCGCCCGGGCGCGCAGGCGCCCGGTTGAATGCGCGATATTGTGTGTTTGAGGTCGTCGTCTTCGCCGGCGAGGACGGTGTCGTGTGTGTGTGTAAAAGTGTGGTCGGGGTGGAACGGGTGGGCCCGTGGGGAGGTTACCTGCCGTTATGGGGTCGTCGGGGTCAATGGGAACGTGCCTCGGGCGACGTTGTCGCGTATGTCGGAGCGATACTGGAACGTATATCTAAAGCTGCACTAGTAAGCTCCTACCAGATTTGTCTGGGCAGGGAGACAAACACGAGCGGTGAAATGAGTTTTGTCATACATCTTTTCCTTTAAACCAACAACCGGATAACAAGTCCTGAGAACTGCTGAGTTGGACATTGGACACACGGTGGACCCGGCACCTGCTCGACGAATGAAATGATACTTGTATGTTCGTTACTTGTATGCGCTGCGTATGTATATAAAATATATAAAAGCCTGATGCCGATCGAATCCTCCACTACTATGTTATGCGATATTTTTTCGATACGATAAATAAAATCACCACGCATGTTAACCCATTTAAGCGATACTAGAATATGCCACAAGATTGATTTTTTTTTTGGTTCGGATTTTGCTTTTTCAGGGAAAGGGAAAAGGACTCACTCCTATACAGCCATTGTCTTAAGTAGTGTTTTCTTATATTATTTAATTTTTCTTTTGTTTTATTTATCCGTAATGGAAAGGCAAAGAGTCTAAGCCCATACAGCCGTTGTCTTTGGTATAATTTCTGTATTTTTAATTAGTTTGACACTAGATAGAAGCTTTGTCAATTGTGATGAAGTTGACACATTGAAGTAATTAATATAAAAATGTCCTAACACGAATGAGCGATTTTTGATTTACTTTAACATCCAGATTTCGCTGGTTCATTTAAGTCCATAACTCATGTACAGTCTATCGAAACTATTTACTTCCGGTGCTTATTATTTCCAGTGTAAGGGACATATAGTCTTATGATTTCATACAAAATAGAATTATTACATTGTCATTTCCGTAGAAGACGTTGTTAGGCTAAGGAAATATTTACTCTGTATTATTGTAAACATGTACAACATTTATTTGAAAAGAACACGAGCTGAGTTTCGTGTCAGTTCTTCTCATCTCGACATCATTCCGAACTGACGGTAGACTTGACATATCATAAGAGTAAGTAATAGACCTACATGAATAGAGATATTTTGAATTTGAATGGGATTTGAAAGGGTAAGAAAAATACTTATGAAAAGTTAATGCAATCGTGCGAAAGTGATTGCAGTCTTAATAGAATTGCGACATATTGTAATATCCACGATATGCTACGACTAAAATTTATTGATATATTTTTTTTTAACGAATCCTATATTACTTATATGTACACTGTATTTACTTAACCTAACTTTACAGGTATTTATGAAGAACGCTGGCGGTATACACATCAATTCACTTCGGTGCAACTACACAATTACATATACAAAAACATATATTGTGATACTATGCTACTTCATTGTAAAATACAATTTAATTATATATTATTATAAATTGGTATTATCACTTATAGCTAAGAGAACAGGTATACATTCTAAAGCGTTTTATGATTAGGTTT